GCAAAAAGGAAATAAATTTGGAGGCAATCTGCTTGCTAACAAGCTGGAATGAGTCTACAGAGGACTTTAGCTGATTGAAAGTAAGGCTGCATGTGTGCGTGAGTGAGGATGTGTGTAAATGAATGAGACAGATTAGATCCTCTTGAATATGTGTCAGACCTTGAGCTGCTGTACTCGGAGCTTCTCATCCTCCATCTCTCTTCTGGCTTTGTCCTGCTCTTCCTGCAGGCGACGCTTCTCCTGGAAAAGGAAAAAGAAGAAGGGAAGAAGAAAAAATGGCAAACAAAGACAGTGAACATAGACGTATTGAGAGTTTAGTAGATAGAGAGTGGGAGCTGGAGGAGGATTTTATTCAAATAAGGATAAAAAGGGGGACCAAAAAAGTCAGATTAACAGACAAACATGAACAGGCTGATGTAGATAAACAGGAACAAAGAAAGGGAGGAAACATCAGTGAATAAGACATCACTGGGAATGAGTAAAATGAGGACACCTGATCAGCCATCTGTCATAAGGACACTGTCACCATAGACAGTAAGTACACTATATTTCCCAAAATGCTCAAAGCACCTGTCCTCATGGCAAACTGGTGTTGTTTTCTTGGGACCAGGGACACCCTGGCTCACCACACTGCACACTCAATAAATTATTTAAGAGGTACGAACAGCTCCAAGAGCACAGCTTAGTCTCTTTACCCTCTCTTTCTCTGTGTATACAGATAAATGTCTGTATGTGTGTGTGTGCAGACTCACAGCAATGGCCTCTAGTCGCTGTTTGTACTTCTCCGCCTCATCCATCCCGGCACCTGTGACACAACAAGACAGGATCGAAGGTTAGAGATCAGAGGTTAAGCAAATACGAGACAAGTCAGCTGGGTTTGTTTATTCCCTGAGTTTACTGTGTTCAGTGGTTTGAGAGAAGGAACTCAAGCTATTATTTCAGAGGGACCCTCTGGAATTTGCTAAAAAAAAATCTTATTAAGCTCATCTGTTGTTGAGATGTCCATTTTCTGTGCTTTTTGGTCTGATTTTTTTTTTGTCCTCACAGGTGCAAAAGTTGTCTGGGGACGAAAGGGTGTACTAAGAAGAGAATCAAACAGCATTTCTGTGTCAATCTCCTGGAGTCTCATCCCTGCTACATCAGAGAGCTTAGAGGCAGCTGATGACGAGTGGTAATAAGATCAGAGACAGCCTTTGCAATTTAGCAAGTAGCATCGTCTTCAGAGCCACAATGACCCACAATGTCTCTCCTATACCTCCATTTTGCTTTTCTTTCTTTTTTTTTTTTGTCATGACACAACCTCAGGCCCCTCTAAGAAAATGAGCATAGGCAATATTTGTTTTCCCCTGCAGCTGACAATAAATGGGAGAATGTTTGAGCTTGCAAAAACTCAGAGGTACATGACAGCGCATAGAGCAGAGCCATACATAGCAACCAGCTCACGGCACCTCAGTCATTAGTGAGTTCCTTATGGTGGCTGACGGGTGCAAACGATGTGCATATACACAAACGAGTTGTATATACATGAATGCGTTGCATAAACAGAAACGCGATGCAAAAACAAAACACTGTATACACAGAAACATGCTGCAAAAAGAAAACACGCTGCATATCCCCTCACACAACGGATGTGCCCCACAGCGCAGCCTCGCTGGAGACCCCGAAGAGATCCGTCCTACAGGGTCTGTAATGTTTTTGTGTGTACAAAAAGCTATATATATATATATATATTATTACACGTCCCAGCACATGGATCTCTTCCAGGTCTATGGCAAGGTTGCGCTTCGATGCTAACAAGAAATTTCCCCCAAACACTACCTGTGTAATAAAAACACAAAAAAATGCCACAATACAATGTACTGTTTTATACTTTACACTCGCTACGATCACAGTACATCTTCTGGTCGCCGTTTTCCTTCATGTGTCCTTCTTTTCAGACTACACTAACGTTTGTCAGTGTGGATGCACACATCTGTATAGTGATCTCTATAGTTATTAGTGTGGACGGGCCATAACAGTAAAACTGGTTAATGCCTGACAATCGGAAGAAAAGAACGCCAAAAACATTTGTGCTGGGGCACTTCCGTTGTGGGGCACTTTGGTTGTGTGAGTGGATATGCAGCGCAGGTTTTTTTGCAGCGTGTTTCTGTGTTTGCAGCGTGTTTTCTTTCTGCAGGTTTCTGTGTATGCAGCATTTTCTTTTTGCAGCGCGCTTCTGTGTATGCAGTGTTTTGTTTTTGCAGTGCGTTTCTGTTTATGCAACGCATTCATGTATATGCAGCTCGTTTGTGTATATGCATGTCGTTTGCACCCATCGGCCACCGTAGTTCCTGCCACCACAAGCCATAACACTGCTTTTGGATGGAAACCTTCCGTCTGAAAATACAAGTATACTTCTCAGGAAAAAAACAACACCTATTTTTGTCCCACACATCATTCTTCAGTGGGTGGGTTCCATGGAAAAGAAAAAAAAATTAAATGATAGAAAATAATTATAGTGTTACTGGAGATTGGAAGTTTTACAGCAACAACCTCCCAGTCACCAACAATCCTGTGTGATGCGTAACGACTTCTGTCCTACACCAAAAAGCATTTATCCATCACAGCAGCTGAGATCTCACATCGGGAGAGATCTGAGTAATACAGGGCCCCATTTCTGTTCCAAATGCCATGCTGTCACAGCTATTGCCGCTAATCGCCATCACAGGGCTTTGAAGCATAAAATATGTGCCACCATGCACACACAAAACACTTTCCAGATGCATAACCTGCAAAATCTCTTCAACAGAAAATTTCTCAGGATGCCAAAAGGAACAATAAATTCAAATGGCAATACTAGATTTTAGGGTAAAACTAGAAACTAACACTTAAAATTTAATAAAATATTATAAACTTCCTGAATAAGCTTTAACACATCTACCCTTGGCCACATTACTCATTTCTCCCCCCCAAAAAACAAAAATACACCCTCCACATCCTGACAGGCATGCTCTACAAATGAGGTCTCTCATTTCTCCCCAGAAGGCAACATGGTAGAGCTTATGCCATTGTTGCTCCTCCAGTATGGCACATCTTTCAGGGCTTTAGGGGATGTTAGTTATCATAGTGAGAAACTTTATCTTACCAACACCTGAGGGATTCCTTTAGGCACGCCTCAGGTGTGGGGTCGGTGCTGGGGGTCATAAGGGAAAAGGTCTCAAGTAAAACAATATGAAAATGTAGGTGCACTTTATATGGAGGGGAAAACAGACAAGGATGAAAGAGGAAGAGGGAAGGGAAAATATTCTGATGGGGGAAACAACCTCTGGCACGCCTTTCATTGCTGTAGCGGCTCAGCTGAAATGATGAAAGGCCTGGACTGACTGGCTACAATTCAAATTACAAAAATACAAATAAAATACAAAATAATTAAAACACTAATTGTTGCTGGCCGTGAGAGTATAACATAATTATCCGTAAGTGCAGTGTTATAACTACACCTCTGACATTTATAAGAAACCAAACCGTCTGAAAATTGGTAGAAAATTGAGCAAGTTATGGTTATTTAAAAAGTATATGCAACATTGCAACACAATGTTGTGGGTGAGCGAGAGCACCGAATCAAGATGGCCGCCAGTGTGGCCGTGCGATTCCATTGGCCGAACGAGACATCTAACCTTTATTATATATATATGTATCTATGTTGGCGTCTACGTTACATTTTTTCAGTTTCCCGATTTTCCGTCTGATGTCCCTTCAGAATAAAAGCACTTCCGTTTTACGTTAAATAATGAAATTAAAAGCATAAAACATTAATACATGACAGATTTAAGTTAAGACATTAACTAATGAGTTGGAATAATAATAACAACATTCAATAAGTATTGAATAAGTAACATTTGAGTTACTTAAAATTACGCTGCAGTTCTCTAAAAAAAAAAAACCCGAAGGAGACGGAGAGGAAGCTTTAACAGAAAGAAATATGAGAATATATACATATGAACAATATATAGTGACAGAGATTGGAAGACAAGAGAAAATGCACCCTTCAAGAGCAACAGAGGTAGACAGAGACAGAATCATATTGTGGCAGGGTTTTGAATGACTCGAGGTGCAGTGACAGCTTACAGTAAAAGCCTCCGTAGGGAGCGAAGCCTTGTGTCTCATCAGGGCTCCAGGAGAGCGCCTAGAATAGCAGCTAGAGATAAACAAGCAAACACAAACAGAGGCTCTGATGAGGAGGTATTGAGGAGCTCCCCGTAGACACACACTGACTTCGATAATTAGACATGATACAGGAGGGTGGAGTAGGGAAGGCAGACAAAGTCAAAAAGTTAAGAGACGGAGAAAGTCAAGATGGTTGGAATGAAGAGAGGCAGAATAAATAGAATATGAGACGAGGTGGCATGAATCGCAGCAACTGGTTTGGGATTCAGATCCCCTATTGCCAGCAAAGTGTAAATGACCTGCAACACAAAATTAACAGCCAGTCTTGCACAGAGCAGACAGAGAGCATGAGATCTGGGAGAACATAAGACATTGATCAGTATCAAGCAAGCTCAGGTCAAGCTGCTCCTTAATCACAAAAATAATTTATCCTTTTTTTTTTTTTAAACGTTTAGTTTAAATTACTGTCAGCTGCCCAAAGAGGCCAAAATATCCAGTATTTAAAAGTTGGATTAAAAATCACGAATACAGAATCGTAGAATAGAATAGAATAGAAAAATTCTTTTCTATTCTATTCTACAATTTTGTATTCGTGATTTTTAATCCAACTTCTAAATACTGGATAGTACTGCAACTAATGATTGTCATTGTTGATGAATCTGTTTCTCGCTTGTTCGATTAGTTGTGTAATCTACAGAATGTCAAAAAATGGGGATAAATATTTCCAAAAAGTCCAAGATCTTGTCCCAAAATGTTTATTTTGTTCAGAAACTAAAGATATTTTGTTTACTGTCACGGAGGAGTAAAGAAAAATTACTCAAATCAAATATATATCAAAATATTTGGCAATTAATACGCATGTTCCAATACAGCGTTACAGCAGAACAAAGGATCGGCCTAATGCCAAAATCTGTCAATCTAAGTAAATTTTGTTAATGCAGCATAAACCACAAATCACTACAGTACACAATATAATTAATCTGTGAATCTGATAAGAAGAAACTCCCTCCAAAAACCTATGTAATGGGGAAGAACAACAATCTTGAAGATACTATAAACTATACAAGATTCCCTACAAATAAAGTCTGTTCTTTATTGGACAGTGTCCACCTGAGAAAACTAATTACATGTTTAATTAATTTGAAATATTTATTTTAAACCCGAATCTTTGCATCTTTTCTGTGAATTTTCACACAGCTCCGACAATCATCTTGTGGTATTTAGAAAGCACAGCAACACACAAATGTGCGGTGGGTCTAAACAAAATCTGCACTGCACCCTTGACTCTGTTAATTCACACGGTATCCAATACATCTCGGAACCCGGCAGTTAAAAACCAGTATGGCACATAACAGTTCACTTGTAACACCTGTTGTATACCAGCGAGGATCAGTTTCATTAAAATACATTTGGTTTGAAGGCAGTAAATGGTTGCCAGTTGAGTTTGTTGGCTGCCTGACCTCAGTGGTATGACCTCCTCACACAGTCTCTACCACATTACATCTTCCCGTCTGCCTCTTTCTTACCCTCCCAATACCTCATTCACACTTTGGCACACAAAGGAACGAAGGCACAATGGTGAAAAACACAAAAGAGAAGAGCTGAGGCAAGAGGAAGGGTAGTCTAGATGGGAAAAAAAGCACACTTTATCAGAGCATT